AATAAATCAATTTTTTTTAATTTTAATTTTTTCGAAACAAATTAACAAATTTAACAATTTCTAAATATTTGTTTCATTTCTAATTTTTGGCCAAATTACCCATTTTATTGTTTCATTTCTTAGCCCAACAAGATCCAACCCACTAAATAACCGTAAATACCTACACTAAAGTGCATAATGCTGTCTCGACTCTCGCACTCACTCTCCCAGCCTCGCTGAGATTCCTAAACCTATACAATCGCCGGCCGACACTGTGACCTCCGACCGAAGCTGTGACCTCCACCGATCGAAATTTTAACCATAGCGGTCATTTGAACAAGATAGTCTACTAGTATCTAACATTCCAAAACTATTGAATGTGTCATTAGTTGTATTTATATAATGTTGTTATAAATGTTAAAAAATTTAATTACCGAACAGAGCTGAACCCGGACGGTTCCATATTGATATTTGGACCCGATGGTTCCATTTACTAGATACCCGAAAATTTTGGAGAACCGAACCAAACTGACCCGCACCCACCTCTAAAGATAATAGCAAAAGGAGAAAATGATCAAACACAATTTTATAAATTGGGAATTTGGCATATGAGATTTTGTGAAGTAAAAAGTGTTTTAATTTTATTTTTTTGTTCTCTTTTAAAATGCTAAAATATGTACCACTTGCACGTACATGGTGTTGAAAATTGGATACTAATTCGTTTTCGCTATTTTTAGCATATATCGAGAATTAAAAACTTCAGTGATTTTAATAATAATGAAAATTTCTTAGAGTTTAAGATGGAAACAAACTCAAATCTTAATAGAAGTATGTTGTGACTTGTGAGGTACAATAAGAAATTCAGTCAACCAATTTAGGCATTTACCATGAATTAAAAGGAGAATTGCAATTTGAATGAAATTTTGACTAAAGAATTCATAATCATTAGGTGGTCCTTCCAAGTTCAACTGTTACAGATTTTAATGTTAAATTAGCGAGAGCATAAAGTTAATGAAAGCAACCATTTCTATCAGTGTCAATTCCTTATATATTATATTTAGAATATTAATTTTGGTGCAAAATTATTTAGTTATTCTCTTGACTCACATCAAAATTTAATATTCTTATCAGCATTTAATACATACATAACATGCAGTGTGTAGTTGCTAAGAATTTTCTTCAGACTGCAAGTCACTTTCTTTCTGTGTATTTATTTTTAAATAAAGAAAATAAGAATTGCAGAGATAGAGAGAGGAGAAAGAGAGATGAAGAGGATTGATACATGCAAATCTTTAGAGATATGGTATCGAACTAAACATGAAGAGGATGATTACCTGAAAGAAAAGGGTTGGGGGTTATTGTACTAATTGCAAGTCTACCTAGGCACTATCTTATGCGGCAGTCCAAGATTTTGGATAAGAGGACAGATTTTGAGTTTTTTACGGACAAATCAAAGACCCTTATTTCTATTTGATGGAATCCATGGACCATGATTATACTTGGAAAATAAACAAAGAGAGAAATGGGTATATTTATGTGAACCTGTGACGGATTACGATAAATTTATTAAATGATTATGTTACTTATACATAAAAATGATACATAATAGATTACATAAAATGATGTAGATGGAAAAGATTGGAAGAAAAAGTTGACTGTAATTTTAACTGACAAATAAAAAGGTGATATGTGGCATTATGTAACATATTATGTAAAGTTTGATGTACATGTAGCAAAATCCTTTATTAAATCATCTCCAAGCAGCGAGTTTGAAACGATCAAAAATTAAACATTACACTTGATGAACGATCACAAAGATAGGTATTATAATTCTTTAACTTTTACAGACAGAAAGTGTGTCATGTAAATGCGTGAAAAAGAAAGGAAAAATAGGGAGGGAGAATATTCCCAAAATCGAACAATCTCAAAAGTTGAACCAAGTAATAGCAGTCAGAATTTTGTAGAAAAGGTGGAATTAGGCTGTTAAAAAGGATGAATTCAAGGAGATCAGACCTACCTCAATAGTTTCTTAGTCTGTGCACTATAGGGCTTCTTCCAATTATTTTGTTGTGCTTCACCTTTTTGTTTATGGAAATTACAAGTTGGAAAAAAAAAATAAAATGTAATCCAGTCTACACTAATTCGTCGGGAAAATACATTTTCTCACAGAGCTTTTATAGGGAAGACATATGGGGGTCGGCCTCATGGAAATATTTTATTGAGGTGGACCCCACTAATGTGTGTATTCTGTGAAGTACCTGTATGTTTTTCTTGTGTAAGTGTAGTACTTTTTATTTTTATTTATTTATTTATTTTTATATATCAAGGTGTCCGCCTTCGGAGACTATTCCTCGAGTCTGTGATCCGGCCCCTCTTCACACAGACCAGTTAAACCTCGGGATGTGCCTCCAACTGACTAGGCTCCGAGCACCTCTCCAATTGGACTGTCAAAGTGCCTAGTGAGCCAACCCATGTTGCGCCTTGCCTTCCAAAACACTCCTGCCTTTCAGGATAAATCCTATCTTCCAGTATGTGCCTTGCCTTCCAAGAGCCCCAGGAATCGAACCCACGACCTCTGATCTGTCAGTTTTGAGAGAACCCGTCCTTTGTTAGTAGAGAAGTGCCCCGGGGGGCAATTGTAGCACTCTTTAATTTGTGGAAAGGTGGCAAATCTCAAAGTTGGAAAATACAGCACAAATCTAATCTATTAATGTCAAAATTTCTTCCATAAATAAGACACCTAATCAATTGAAGTGTCATCATGAAATCAATCTTGTTGCAAGAAAAGAGTTAGTTACCACGACTGCATGTTTACTAGGAGCAAGGCATGAGACATCTAGTCTTGGCTATCTCTTTTTTGCATTTTTATTGTGGGGAGTTTTAGTCCGTTACTCATCTCTCGATCTTTACAGATGGGCTAACGTTGTACTTTCATTTTAATGGGGGCGTCGCTTGCATCTTCGTATGTGACCGGGTTGAATATGACGAGCAACTGGTGTCTAATGAGTTCAAGTTTTTTTGGTGGGAAATTAACACAATCTTATTTGCCAAATATTAGTTAGAGACTCAATCATCCTAAAGAGTTAAAGTTACAACTACATATTTTTCTTTCTTAATTATGTTCAATCCAATATAAAAGTATTTTTTCGAGATCGGGGGCATAAAAATGAGGATATGTATACTATATAATTTGAAGAAGATGAAAATATATCGACATCATAGTCATTATTACTACCTTGTATTTATCCCTCTCTGTAGTAATTATTTTCCCATTTAAGAAATGGTCCCAATTGGAATGCCATTTCTGGATTTTGAAATATTTAAAAGACTGACGCTTAATTAGTTTTCAGAAATAAGAGATTATATTGTTTACATTATTTTGGAAACTGAATAAGTCTATGACCTCATATATACACAAATATTTTTCTTTTTTCTGTAGCAACCTATAATAATAAGTAGTGTTCCAAAAAACGACGTATAAATGTGTTTAGGCGGATCTAGGTGTGAAGCAAGTGCAAAACGTCTCATTGCACACTTTTTCGCTCCTAGTCGTGCCTAGCGCACACTTCTTATGTTTTTTTAGTAATTAGATAATTTTAGATTGATCTAAAACACTTTTTTTATGCCTAAACCAAAACTTAGCATTCACGCTTTACGCTTTTTAGAACACTGATTATCTATTAAATATTGGGGATCCATTTCAAATTGTCAACTTTGTCAATAATAGAATCTCAAAATTTTAAGGGACGTGGAACTTTTACCCTTTCATAATCCACCATTTTTTAATTTAGCACTTGTTTGGCTTAAAAAATTGCTAAGAATTTGACGGTAAAGTTTACGATTAATATTAATCACACAATTTTTATCAACTTTTATCAAAATATATACATAAATTTTTGCAAATAATCTCCTTAATCTCGAAGAAATATATATTTCGAAAATACTTTTAAGTTAATTATAATTATAAAGCTATAACAAACTTATAATTGGTGGTAATCGCTGGATAATAGAGTAATTAATATTGAGATATTATCATGATTATCCTTTTCGGATTAATTTCATTTTTGGTCACTGAAATTTCAATTGAATCACCCAAATTTAGTTAATCTTAATCCGATCATTAGACTTCAATTTACTATCAACATTAGCAACTATATTTGCTCTTATTACTGAAGTTAGCGTGTTAAAGCTACATTGACGTTAAAAAATTATCAAGATGTTTTGCGTCTTACGTTTCAAGTAAACATGTCATCTATTCAATATATATGAACAAACAAATGATTATCTGCATATCATAATCAGGTAGTATATTTTTCAAAATTTGCACTCACAACTTGATTATGTAGCATATTTATCAGAATAGTAAGACACACATATTGCCATCAATTTTTAACGTCTTCATAGAATTGAAACGTTAATTATAGTAACGGTGGCTAACAAGGTGACTGAAGTTATGTGATATAATTGAGACAAATTAAAATTAAGTGACCCAATTGAAATTTTACTGAAAATTCAGTGTCCAAAAATGAAATTACCCCATTCCTCGTTGTATGGTTAAACCCTATACATGCCCCTACTTCACTGTGTTTCTTCCTTCTTGTTGGAAATATTATCCCAAATCAATAAGATCACTCCTAAAATAGGTGCTGTCGAGAAATCATGATTCATCTTCTGTACTCTTTTAAATCTCTGTGAGAGAGAGAGAGAGAGAGAGAGAGAGAGAGAGAGAGAGAGAGACGGGGTTCTAAAGTTGGTAAATTTTTGAAAGTTATTTGGCTTTTTGGCTTCCCTGCCATCTTTTCAGGCTCATTCTCCAGCTCCCTACTCAATAGGGTGGCTGCTGATTGAGAACTGTTAAATTAAGAAAAATACTTGAAAAAATGCTGTAAGAAGGGATGAATTATTTGTCTGATACATTATGATTTGCATATAATTAGAGAAACCTACAATTCAAGTGTGTTTTGAGCTTACTGATAATCAAGAACCAAATCTCCATTAAACCAAAGTTGAAATCACGAACATTCATTCATTCATTCACTTCTTCTCTTCTCTTCTTTGCTTCTAATCTTAATCACAACTTTTTGTTGCCTTTTGATTCAAGCAAAGAGTGTTAGAAATTCCTCCTTTATAGTTGTCCCTGTCATCTTCTGTCCTTCTCTCCCAGATATCTCTCTGATTTGATATTCTCCTCTTTCTATCTCTATCACCCTCCATGTGCTCAGCCCTACCCCCATCCGTCTCTTTATAATTCAACATTTTATACACTTTCACCATTTCACCTACCTTCTTCTTCTTCTTCTTCTCCGAAAAGTGAAAATCGACAATGGAAACTCAACAAAATCATCAGCAACAGGGAAATGAAGATGGGGGAAACAAAAACAGTAATTTTCTATGCAGGCAAAGTACTTCAAGGTGGACACCCACTACTGAGCAAATAAGAATCTTGAAAGACCTTTACTACAACAATGGAGTTAGGTCTCCATCTGCTGAGCAGATACAGAGGATCTCTGCCAAGTTGAGGCAGTACGGAAAGATTGAAGGCAAAAATGTCTTTTATTGGTTTCTGAACCATAAAGCTCGTGAGAGGCAGAAGAAACGCTTCACTAGTACTACTCCTTCTGCCTCTGATGTCCCCATGCACCACAGATCACCTGCTGCCGGTGTTTGGAAATACCATCAAGATCATCCTTTCCCTAACAATCTTACTGCTGCAGGTCAATATTACTTTTTCTTAAGATCCCACAATCTCTTATTATCAGATGCTCATATGGTGATTAGGGTTCTTGCATTACATCATGATTTTTGAGGGTTTTCTAATTTGGTGTGTTTTATGGTCAGGTTTTCCATCTTCATCAAGTTCTTCTCCTGGTGTGCTGAATATTGGCCCTGTGGGACACCCTGGCTATGGATCTGTAGCCATGGAGAAGAGTTTTAGAGTGAGTACAGTGATTTTTAACCTGTTTATCACAAATTGATGAAATAGCATACTTTATATTATGTTTACGGAAGATAAATATCAGAAGGCGTCGTTTCTTTTCAAGTATAAATTTGATGAAATATTACCATGAAGAAGAAAACCCCTAAGTTTGTTGGTGCAAAGAAGCATTAGAAGACACAGAGATGAAATATTACATTTTTCTCAAGAAAATGAACCTTGATGGTGATTTCTTAGTGTATTGAATTCAAGTTTTCAGGGTTTATTACTATGAAAACTTGTTTACTATTAAATTGCAGTTTATAGAAATACAAGTTTTGACCAACGGTACAGGTCTCTTTCTCTCTTTAATTCCATTTCTTGAATTCAAATAAACTAGGACTGTTCCATATCTTCAAGTGTTGATGGCAATGGATCTGGTATGGGTCAAAACTTCGTATGGGTCGGAGTCGACCCGTATTCTTCAGGAGGAGGCTGCCACCCATTTCTTGAAAAAAGAAAACATTTTGATTATGAAACCCTAGAAGATGAACAGCCAGAAGAAGAACAAGTCCCAGAAATTGAAACTCTACCTCTTTTCCCCATGCACGATGAACACACTTTCAAGCAAGAAACTAACTTCTACAATGGCTGGCATTATGGCCCGAGGGCCGAAGATAATAAGATTGGCTCGTCACGGGCTTCCCTCGAGCTCACCCTCAATTCCTACTCTGCCAGATTGCTTAATTCTCCATGAAAAAAATGTTACCCTTGTTATGAAGGATTCTACCTTGTTTACTTTCAACTTTTTTCGTTTTTTAGTTTCTAATTAAGTGATGTTATGTTTCTATTCAGCTTATGTTTTCTATTCATTTTCGTATTTATAAATTAGGGTCGGAAATCCAACTCCCTTCACTATTTGACGTTCCATGGTTGAAAGATTGTTTGCTGTCATCTTCAGCTAGAAATGAGAATATATATGAGACCAACAAAGCATGAAGCAAAATAAAATGTGACAAAAATTGGTTAGAATCTCTAAATTTGTACACATACGTTTATTAGAATCTCTAACTTCCCGAAAATTTAAAATTTCCTCTATATGTTTATGGATTGTAATAAGGCTTAAGATTATGTCGAATATGGGGGGTATAACGGGTTTTGGAGGTCTAAAATGTAGAAAATGAATGGGTGATCAATTCCCTATCGTTAGTGTTCTCCTTGCGCTTCATTGACACTTGAAATTTGGGCCTCATCAATTTAGATAACTCTTATAAGTTAGTACGACTCGATATGATCAACAACTGAATCAATTGAGGTAAATGCTCGTGATCCTTTGCTCTATGCACATTCCATGGTAGTGAAGACAAGAAATTAATTTACCAGCCCAAAATTAATCCATAGATTAAGCACAAAGTACATGAATGATTAGCTTTTGATTATTACAAGAACATGAATGCAAACAATCATGCTTGAAAGTGTACACCAAATTTGGCAATTTATCATGTGGCAAATTATTATTCGCTTGTTTAAAAAAAAAGTTTTTTCTTTCACCATTTTTCGAAAATAAAGGCAATTTCGAATTTGGTGCAAAGGGAAGTATTGGGCTGTGATGCCAATTTATTGGCCCAGCTCATAATGGGCTATGATGAAACAAAGGGCCAGTCCTTTAACTCATATATTACAAGCGATTGCCCAATAACGCAACCCGAAAATGAGCCCAAAAACCTAGCCCAGCTATGATGAACACGTGTTGCTTTGGACCTTTGGATTGCCCCGGTTTAAATCTACGGTGATGACTAATATACTATATATATGGCCAGAGTGGTGCCCTAATGTCGATTCATCTGATTTCTTGTGTTTGAGAAGCTTCTAGTCTCTCTCTTCGACTCTGTGTTTTCTCTCATCTTTCGTCTTAGTGATTTCTTTAGTAATCATTTAAACCTCTGGTTTTTTGGAAGTTTTAGAGAGTTGGAATCTTGGTGATTCTTCGATCTGCTGTTGAGAGGTTATATTCTGTATTTGGGTGATTTTTGTGGTCCATTAGAGTGACTGCTTCTATTCAGTTGATTGAGGCTGGGGTTTGTGTGATGTTTTTTATGTTGTACAGACGGGTAAAATGTAATTTGAGCCCTAAATAATCATTTCTTGATGTCGATGATTCATTTGTGATACATATCTGGTATTTTTTGGTTCAAGTTGTTAGAGGAAGAACGTACAAATTGCAAAATTCGAATGCAAAAAAGTGACGTAAATAATACTCAAAACTGCTGGAAGGCTGAAGCACGTGGCTGAAGTCTTCTCAGACAGAGATATAGGTGGGTCCCGAATCCTAGGTGAAGCTTAGGTTGAAATACCCAAAGTTTAGGAGGCACAGTGTAGAGTTGTTAATCAGTTAAATATATTAATATATTGGCCCAAATCATTGTGGTGTTGAATATTAGACACTTCACTGCAAAGTGAAAATATAAAAAGTGGGATAAGAATTTGTTGATTGACAATACACGCCGTTATTTTGGAAGAGGATATGTTTCGAAGTTTGTACCATTTTTACATCGTAAATTTCACAAATGTCATTACCCTTCTCAATGTGTTTTACTAACTCTATCCGTCTCAACTATAAAAGCTGATTTTATTTTCTATCACACGAATTAAGAAATTTTATCTAGACCTTTGTTTGGTAAAAATTAAAATTAATTTTTTTTAAGATTTTGATCAAAATTTTTGAAATATATGATTGATAAGTTGTTGGACTTATGAAATATGTGCTTAATATTAATTGTTTGCCTTTGATTTAAATTAAAATCGAATTTAAATCAATACCGAACTCAGATTTAATATTATTGAAAAAGCATTTTTTGTCAAAAACTTTCCTAATTTGACCTTATGTATATTTATACAATTTCAAGACTAAGTGGAGAAAATTACTTGTAACTAAGCAAATTAAATAAGTGTATATTAGTAAATAAACAAAACAAAACATTCTTAATAAAAAAAAAGAATTATATAATTGGGACAAGAAAAAAAAAGGAAAGTTTGCCTATATAAATGGGATGGATGGAATATTTCTTGTAGACCATAGACTACCACTTATACTTTTATTTTAATTTTTTAAAAAAAAGAAGTCGATGATTTTTTTTTATTAATAGTTCTGGTTGGTAGGAATTAAAATTAAAATTTTGATTTAAATTAAAGTCTAGAATTAATTTTAATCACATTTCATGGTATTTATAACTTTCAAACTATATATTTTATCAACTTTTATCAAAATTTATTAAAAAATTAAGTTTAATCTCAAGCACATGAGCATAATAGAAACTATGAGAAAACACAAGTCCCTGCTTGGTATAAATTAAAAGTTGATAAAAAATCTAAACTTAAAATTAATATTAATTTTAATTACACTTTCATGAGATTTATAACTTTTTAATCACATAATTCATTAATTTTTATCAAAAGTCACTAAGAATCTAGTTTTTATCTACACCAAACATGGGTTAAATTTGAAGAAAATGCATACTATGTCCTCCTATTAATGAAACCAAAAAATTCATCATTCTGATATATTGATAGTATCTCCCAAACACTTCACTTTTAATTAAGCCATATTTGGTTTAGCTTAAAATAATATTTTTAATAGATTTTAATAAAAATTGATGAAATGTATGATTAAAAAGTTGTAAACTCCATGTAATACTTGTGATTAAAATTAATTATTAACTAAACCGCACAAGAATACAGTTAAACTATATCTCTCGTATTAAGTCCTTGTTTGATCATCATTTTTTGAAATTCATTTTTAACCACATATTTTATATAATTCACAATTTTTATATATTTTTTAATTACACGTTTTATCAAATTTTAATCAAAATTTACTAAAAATTTAATTTATGTTCAAACCAAACAAGGGTTAAATTAGTGATGGCAATGGGTCGAGCCGAGCCGACTCGGCCCTTTAACCCACGTGCTCGGCTCGGCCCACGAGCTTGTGAGCTCACGAGCCATGAGCTCGTGGACCGAGCTGAGCCGAGCTCACTAGCGCCAAACTCGAGCTCGGCTCGGACCACGGGCTCCCGAGCCAGGCTCGGCCCACGAGCCACGAGTCCGTGGGCCGAGTTGAGCCGAGCAGAGCCGAGTCCACGAGCCACGAGCTCGTGGGCCGAGCTTAGCCGAGCCCCCTAGCATCTCTCGTCAAAATGGTGCCCACGAGCCACTCGTGGGCTCGACGAGCCTAGGCTCGTGGATTTGAGCCTCCTGCTCGGCTCGAGTCCGCCCACGAGCCGGATTTTAAGGATCCGAACGGCCGAGTCGACGAACTGCTCGACTCATTTGACATCCCTAGATTAAATAGACTGAGCGTGCCTAAAGTAACTGGGGTACTTCTTTCTTATATTAGTATACTTAGCTTCATCAAGACTTTCCTCCATCACTCGGATGTACCAATTTGATATAGGCGTCATGAGCTGGCCTAGAACTACGGCCCCAGGAGTGACCCCCGCCCTCCCAAAACAAGCCTATATATGTATATGAAAACTAATGAAAAAAATAAAAAAATAAAAAAATAAAATTCAATTCAAGTTTATCTAAAGAAAATGACAAAAAATAGGTTCTCTTAATATAAATTAACAGAATTTTGGTTCTCAGCCTTCAAAATGAAATAAACGTGAGTAATCAACTTAATTATATTTTCGAATCTAGGCTCCCACGTGATAGAAATTGTAATTTGAATTTTAAAAAACACGCGAATTAAAGTTGAAGAGCAAAACTGTCAAAAAAATAGCATGAGGACCCAGATGCACATATTTAACGTGACTTTCACATGTGATTTTAATGCTTACAGTTACATTAATGATTTTTGTCTCGTTAGGACCCATATTTAGAAATCAATTTTAGATGTTCGGAAGCCAAAATCACACTAGTTAAAAGGTCACAAAGTCTACTCTAATTTTTTCGAAGAACACATGATACAACATTACACCTCCAAAAGTACCAGGAAATGTTTTCTTCATAACTAATCAATGATTATTTCTTTTTCTTAAATACAAATTTTCAAGAGATATTCTCTATTGTACTTCTTCTCATGTCAAGTGAGGGTTGATTTTTTCTTTTGTTTCCTTTTTTCCAAAAAAATGAAAATCTTGAAGAAGGTTTACAAGAAGAACGGTCATGTTCACTGAACAAACAGTCCAGTGCATTGCGTACAATTATTGCTTATTTAGAACGTTGCATACAAAAATCCAGAACAAATATTTCCTGTGCATATCAGCAAATTGAGCCATCTAACTGACAGGTGGGCCAATGATGTGGACGAGACCTATCCAGTATAATATGTCATCAATTCTATTAAGATCTTGTTTGAGCCTCATTTTGGGGGAAAGAACGAATTTTTCTATAGTACATTGATGGAAAATATATGATTAAAAAATAAGAAAAAATTTTGAATTTGCTTGTAATTTTATTTTATTGAAAAATGTGCAATTGAAATAATGTTAAAATACTGTTGAAAAATTCATTTTTTTTTCAAAGAATGTGACTCAAACAAGGGCTAAGCGTGTGTTTAAGCCACATTATTTTGAAACAATTTATTTTGAAATAGTAGATTGATGAAAAATATGTTATTAAAAATTGAGGAAAAATTTTGGATTTACGTGTAATATTATTTTATTGAAAAATATGTGGTTGAAATAATATCAAATCATTGTTTAAAAATACTTTTTTTTTTAAACATGCTGCTCAAATGGGGCCTAAATGGTTCCATCTATAGTCATATTGTATAAACTTATTCAAAACCAAATATTAATTTCAATT